GAGGTTGGCCAGCGGGCCCCGCCCCCAATGGGGGTGGGTGAGCCAATCAAGGGTGGGGCCGGCTGGGGGGAGGGGCCACAGAAGGTTGGGGAGGAGCATGGAATGATTGTGAATAGTGATAGGAAATGAAGCTAGAAAGATCGCGCCACAGTGCGCGTCATAGCGACCGGTCGTTCCAGTCGTTTTATTGTTCCATAGTTCCAGTCACTTGGCTTTTATATATATAGATATTTCAGGTGCTGTAAGAGGTCCATGGGAGCATAGGAGAGACTAACAGCATTTTGGAAGAACATTAGGGAAGGTGTCACAAAAGAGGTAACATCTTACCTAGTTTTTTAAGAATCAGTAGGAGTATTTCAGATAGAGGTTATGCTGGAAAGAGATCTGCAGAGGCACAAGGAATTGGAGATAGTTCAGTATAATTGGAGCATGGGATGATTGTGAATAGTGATAGGAAATGAAGCTAGAAAGATCGACTATGGTCTGATTTTGAGGAGCCTTGCAGTCCATACAAAACAAAAGTGAAAACTTGTGCTTTGTAATTAAGCCCAACAATCGTTTGGTTAGATTTATGTTCTAGAAAGGCTGCTATTTGAGCAGACATGGATGGAAGGAATGGAGACCAATAAAGAGGCTAGTATATAGTCCTGGAGAGAGATTACGACGGCCTGAACTAAGACAGTGAGGCTGGAGAAGAGGATAATTTGAAAAATACTTAGAAGAGATGTATCTGACTGAATACACTCACTGACAGGATGTGGCATAGATGGATGGAGAAAAGTCAAGGATGGTCTGCCAGTCATGATTCAGTTATAAGAGAATTCACTCTGACTAGAGTAAGTAGAAAATGATTCATATAAAAGGAATTAGTTGTCTACAAAATCATTACAAGGGTTGGAGAAACAGTCTCTAGACTGGGCCAGCCCACCAAGGGAACTGCCACCTTTGCTACAATCAGGGAGCTGGGTGATCAGGAGACTGTCGTCCCAGCTGTGGGTTCCAGGATCACACCATTTGAATTACACTGGGAATCAGGAGGTTTCCCACTCCCTGCCCCAGAACCCCTGATGTAATTTACACCAACAAAACAGGTATCTTATGTGCTACCTGTACTTCCCCACTTAGCTCAGTTCTGATTTCAGATCTTAATCCAAGTGTATCTAATTGGTGGGATCAAAATCCCATTGAAAACCTATAGAACCACTCTGAGAAACAAATACTGAGGGAGATAAGGCTACAAAATTGACAGTGAATGCAACAAATAGGAAGCAATGAATTTAAGAAATGATAGGGAAAGAAACCAGTAAAAATTATAGTTGTCTAAAAATATTAATGCATGATGTAAAAAAACCTGAGGATTAAAATCCAAGAAAATTCTAAGCAAAAGGAACTTAAACTTGTCAGGTTTCTTTCCCTGCTTAGGAGAAATAATAGGTATTAATTAACACCAGAAATAGATGGAAAAATATGTGTTTAACTGTGTGTTTTAAATTTTTCAGGGCTATCATTAGAAAAACAAAAGATGTATCATTTCTAAATCACTAAAAGAAAAAAAAAACACTGATCAACAAAAAGCAGGAAAGGAATTAAAACAGGAAAATGTCAGTTATCACAATAAATATTGATGAATGAAATTATCCTATTGATAGATAGTGGCTCTCAGATTGGATTAAAAATTGAGTTACATGTTGTTTTTGAGAGATACCCCTAAAGAAAGCAATATATAAAGATTGAAATAAAGGAATTAAAAATACATAACAAGCAAATGCTGACCACAACAACAAACAAATACAGGGATATTAATATTAGTGATAATAGAATTCATGACACCAAAACTATAATCCACCAAAAAAGATAATAATGTTAAACTTAATTTAACAAAGATAACAGCTTCTAAATATTAAGAAATACAAGTATAGCCTGGCCAGTGTGGCTCAGTGATTGAGCATATACTTATGAAGCAGTAGGTCACAATTCAATTCCCACTCAGGGCATATGCCTGGGTTGTGGACTCGATTGCCAGTAGGGACCATGCAGGAAGTAACCGATCAGTGGTACTCTCTCATCATTGGTATTTCTATCTCTCTCTCCCTCTCTTTTCATCTCCGAAATCAATAAAAAATATATTACCAAAAAAGAAAGAGAAATTCAAGTATACACTGTTCAAGTCTCAGTTATTGTGGTAAATATTAATCTGTTTGATCAGTAGATCAAATAAACCAAAATAAAAAAGAATAATGAGGATTTGAATAACTCAGTTAACACATTTTATCAAATAAATATACAGGTTGGGACAAAATTAGGTTTATAGTTGTGAGTACACAAAACAGAGTTTATTGTTGTGTTATTATTTTTAACTAGAGGCCCAGTGCATGAAATTCATGCACAGGGGGTGGGTCCCTCAGCCTGGCCTGCACCCTCTCCAATCTGGAACCCCTTGGGGGATGTCCGAATTCAGACATCCCTCTCACAAAGGCCAGCTTAAGCGCTGCTGAGGAGGCAGGAGAGGCTCCCACCACCACCGCTGTACTGGCAGCCATCAGCCTGGCTTGTGGCTGAGCAGAGCTCCCCCTGTGGGAGCGCACTGACCACCAGGGAGCAGCTCCTGCATTGAGCATCTGCCCCCTGGTGGTCAGTGTGTGTCCTAGTGACCAGTCATTCCCAGTCGTTCTGCTGTTAGGGTCAGTTTGCCTATTACCCTTTTATTATATAGGATAGAAGCCTGGTGCATGGGAGGGGGCCGGCTGGTTTGCCCTGAAGGGTGTCCTGGATCAGGGTGGGGGTCCCGCTGGGGTGCCTGGCCAGCCTGGTTGAGGGGCTGATGGCTGTTTGCAGGCTGGTCAAGCCCCCCCTCAGTGGGGACCCTCACCCCATGGAGGTTTGGCCAGCCTGGGTGAGGGGCTGATGACTGTTTTCAGGCTGGCCACACCCCCTTTAGGGGTGGGGGGGTCCCCACTGGAGTGCCTGGCCAGTCTGGGTGAGGGGCTGAGGGCCGTTTTCAGGCTGGCCAAAACTCCCCGGGCAACGGAAGCTCCCAGCCTCTCCTTTTTTTCTTTTTTTTTTAATTCTGGGATTTATTTACCTTCTATAATTGAAACTTTGTAGCCTTGAGAGGAGCTCAGAGCCGGTCAGGGCGGGCAGGAGGGAAGCTTGGCTTCCTTCATCGCCAGGGGCAACCCACTCCTGCTCGCTAGAGCTCCGTGGCCACGGCCGGCTGAAAGCAGGTATCTGGGGTTTATTTATCTTCTATAATTGAAACTTTGTTGCTTTGAGTGGAGCTCAGAGCTGGCCGGAGCAGGCGGGAAGCTTGGCTTCCTCCATCATTTGGGGCAATCAAGCCTCCTGCTTGCTCCAGCTCCGTGGCTGCCGGCCGCCATCTTGGTTGGGTTAATTTGCATATAGTCGCTCTGTTTGGCTGGTGGGCGTGGCTTAAGGTGTAGCAAAGGTATGGTCAATTTGCATGTTTGTCTTTTATTAGTGTAGATTAGGGTATTCTTAAGCTGGCCTTTGCTAAAAACATCCTCAATCTGATTGAGGTACGTTCACTGAGGTCAACCCCTTCCAACTCTCCCATCCTCAACTCGTGCATGAATCGCGCGCACCTCCCCTGCGCTGCGTATCCTGTCGCCTGACCAACTGACACCCCCCACTTCTTCTAATGCCACTTCTTCAAAATAGACTCGCCCAGGCTGAAAACCGACTTCTGCGCATGGGCCATGAAGTTTCAATCGCACTGTACATGCGCGCCCACATGTGGTATTTTGTGGAAGAGCCACACTCAAGGGGCCAAAGAGCCGCATGTGACTCGCGAGCCGCAGTTTGCCAACAACTGCCCTAGCCGGTTTGGCTCAGTGGATAGAGTGTTAGCCTGCGGACCAAAGGGTCCCGGGTTTGATTCTGGTCAAGGGCACGTACCTTGGTTGCAGGCTCCTCCCCTACCCAGGTCCTGGTCAGGGCTTGTGCAGGAAGCAACCAATTGATGTGTTTCTCTCACACTGATATTTCAGTCTGTCTTTCCCTCTCTCTTCCACTCTCTCTAAAAATCAATTGAAAAATATCCTCAGGTGAGGATTAAAAAACAAACATCCTCAGGTGAGGATTAAAAAACAAACAAACAAACAAAACAACAACCAGTAATCAAACAAACAAAAATAATAAAGCTTGTTGGTCCCAGATAGTAGGTCCTATGTTTAAGAAGAACAAGGGAAGTATTAAATTTGTAGGATAAAGCTAAATGAATATTAACTGTGTAAAGCAACAATAACAATTTATAGTGGAGTTTTAAAATATAGAAATAACCCTGGCTGGTGTAACCAAAAGGTTGCTGGTTTGATTCCTCGTAAGGGCACATGCCCAGTTGTGGGCTTGATCCCCATTGTGGCATGTGAAGGAGGCAGCCAATCAATGTTTCCCTCTCACATTGATGTTTCTCTCCCTTTCTAAAAATCAAGAAATTATTATTTTTAAAAAACTAGTGATATATATATAGTGATATCACTATAACAGTAGTATATATTAGGAAAGAGTTAATGGAGATATAGTATTCTAGATTCTTGTATTGCGTAGGATGGAGATACAGTAATTAACTTTAGATGTCAGTACTTTAAGAGTGCATATTGTAGCTTCTGTGGTAACCAAAGAATAAAAGAATATATAGCTTCCAGACTAGTAAGGATAGGGGTGGGAAGATGGGCACAAGAAAAATAAAAAAGTATGGGACATGTGAGTCAAATAGGAAAGAAAATGTCAAATCTAATCTGAATACTACTATATTAGCACTTACATTTGTACCAAAAATCAGTGGCTTAAAACAAAACACATCTCCCCTCCTTTCCCCTCCCCGCAGTCTCCAGGTCAGCTGGGTGGTTCTTCTGCTCTCAGCCAGGTTCCTCGTGCATCTATAGTCCCCTGTGGTTTGGGCAGGCACCACAGCTGATCTAGCCTGGCTCTATCATTTGTTTGGGGTTGGCTGACTATATGCTGGTCTAAGAAGGCCCTTAACTGGGACAACTTGTCTCTGCTCACATGGTCTGTCATACTGCTGAAATCTCTGCTCCACATGATTTGTTGTTATGGCAGAGGCAAAGTCTGAAGAGAGAGTGGAAACATATAAGACCTCTTGAGGCCTAGGTTAAGAACTGATACACTGATATTTTCCACATTCTATTGGTCAAAGCAACTCACAGAGCAAAATTTAAGGGACTTGGAGGTAGACTTTACCAAGCTGCAGAATCACATTGTAAAGGGCATGCATTCAAGGAAGCTATTATGACCATCAGTATAACCAATCCACCTCAGTGATAAAATGCATATGTACTAGATGTACTGGTTAAAAGCCAGAGATTGTGAAACTGAATAAAAAAGTGAAGTTCAATTATATGTTATTACAGGAGACATGTCTGAAACATAAGGTTATATAAAGTTTGAAAGTAAAAAAGTGGGAAACATAAACAACACCAATACTAACCAGCATAAAAACAGAATAGCCATTGAAGACTAAATAGACTAAGATTAAAAGCAAAAATAGAAATATAAAGAGGACCATTTCAAAATAATAGGTTCAGTTCACCAGGAATATAATGATAAATCTGCTAATTTAATCTGTATGCATCCATCAGCATAGCCTTAAAAATTTCTAAGCCAAAAGTTGACAGCACTGCAAATCCACATTACTTTGAGAAGGTTTCATATACCTCTGTGCAATTAATAGAAAAAAATGAAATAGTTGAACAACATGATTTACAATTTAACTTAATGGACATTTAGAGAACGTTGCCCTGAACAACTGTAGATTGTACATTATTTTCAAGCTTACATGGAATATTTATAAAAATTAACCAAATACTATTTGTAAAGCAAAAGTCAACAGATTCAAATTAAGGAACACTTCTAAATAACCCACATTTAAAGACAGTTTCATAATGGAAATTTGAAACTACTTTGAAATGAAATATAATAAAAATACAATATTTCAAAACTTGTGGGATCAAGTTACCCTGGTGCTAACTGAGGACATTTTAGCCCTGAAATGAATGTAATAGGAAAGAATAAAGCCTGAAAATGAATGAGCTAAACATTGTATCTAAAGAAATTAGAGAACAGCAAAATAATTCTGAAGAGTTAAAGAAAAGAAATAATGACATTAAAAACAGAATTAATGAAAAGTTGATCATTTGAAAAGACTAATAAAAGTGATATAAAATCTATGTTAACATTGCTCTTGTAATTAAAAATTAATAAAGAAAATAAATGCAGATAAAGACCTTTTTTCATTATAAAAGTGAGAGTATTATACTATCTAAATATCCAATAAAAATGATTTATTAGGTAAATTGTGTTCTACATAATAATTGATTTTTATATATTCATTAAAATTATTAAATTTTAAAAATATGTTTAGAGAGAGAGGAAGGGAGAGTGGGTGAGGGAGAGAGAAAGAGATAAACATCTATGTGAGAGAGAAACATTCATCGGTTGCCTCCAGTACGCGCCCTACTGGGAATTGAACCTGCAACCGGGGTATGTGCCCTAACTGGAAATCGAATCTGCGACCCTTCCGTGCATGGGACGATGCTCCAACCAACTGAGCCACACAGACCAGGGCAAAATTATTAATTTTTAATGACATGGAAAAAATTTATTGTATAGCATTAAGTGAAAAACAGTGTACAAAATAAGATGTTTAGCATGATTTTAACATTTTACAAAAATTTATAGAAAAGGCCTAAAAAGAAATATGTCAAATGTGAACAATGTTATAGATTTATATATATATTTATGTGCTATAGATTTATGAGTGATTTTATCTATTTCTTTATACTATTCAAAAATTTGTATTCCTTACCATTTCTCAAATGTTTGTCATACACTTTTAAATTGAAAATGGAAGAAATTTTAAAACAAATATTTTTCTTCTGCTCCCAGTCTTAAGTTAACAGTAAAGTAGTAATACCACTTCATGTATAGGCACTCTATCAGTGGTTCTCAACCTGTGGGTCGCGACCCCTGAAAATACATCCTGCATATCAGATATTTACATTATGATTCATAACAGTAGCAAAATTACAGTTATGAAGTAGCAACAAAAATAATTTTATGGTTGGGGGTCACCACAACATGAGGAACTGTATTAAAGGGTCGCGGCATTAGGAAGGTTGAGAACCACTGCAAGTGGTGGAAACCAGAAGCAACTTTCATGGAGGATGAGTTGGAGTCCTCTGGATTAGGTTTATGGGTCTGTAAGTGATACTATGAGCACCATTTATGTTCTTCTTCTTAATCAATTGAGGCTCCTCTCTCATTATTTACCTCCTACTGAGATCTGGAACTGATATGCTAATAGTTGGAAGTTTTTGTTTTGATTTTGTCTGAACTTAAACCAGTATCCCATTTCATATTCTAGCTATTTATAATACTACTGAGCTTCATAGTGGGATGATGAGGTATTTGTGTGCTTTATAAGAGGGTAACTAACATGTTTTATGGAATATAAAGACTTTGAAAGTTTGGTCTACTACATCTTTAATTGGGTTGTTTTGTGCTCTGTGATTACTTAATTTTTGTATTGATTTTTTTTAATGTCGAGTCTTTTTCACTTTAGAAATGCTTGAGACATGTTTATATTGATGATTGGTAGTTATGAAACAAGAATTTGTGTTGAATAACTTAATTAGTAGAAAGATTGGAGTACTGAACTGAGCTCAAAGAAATAATTAACTCAATCTCATAAAACATTCAAAAGAGTATACATTCCCCTCTAAAATCAACAACAAAAAAATGGACATATGTTAATACACCTGTTAAGTAACTCTATATCTCTCTACTGTCTTTCTGCAGGAAGAAGCAATTCCGCTATCTACAAGAAACCAAGGGGAGAAAACATGGTGTTGTTAATGAAGAAAATAATGATAGCAAAAGATTTGTAGGAGAAAATACAAATCGTGCTATGCTAAATTATACCACAAGAGACTTTTATAATGAAAAGCTAGAGGTAAAACTACCATTGATTTTTGGAATCTAGTGCCTGGGTATATATCACATGGCTTAGGACTTGGAGGTTGTACATTTCTCCCTCAAACAGTCAAGATAACCCTTTAGTGTTGTTACTGTCTGGAATGTTAGCCAGCCTTAAATATACAGAGGTGGGGAAAGTAGGCACCATGGCATTAGGAAGAAGTGGAGCCCATATTTCCAATATCTTTATTTATGCAGAAAAAGAATCTTCAAAAGAAATTTGAATGGTGACTAGAGAATATTTGACTTTGGGTGGTGGTCACACAGTGCAATATACAGATCTTATAACATAGAGACCTACACCTGAAACCTATATGTTCATATTGACCAATGTCGCCCCAATAAATTTAATAGACAAACAAAAAAAGAAATAAATCTGTATCAAAAATCTAGACCAAAGTAGGACCAAAGGTCTTACTTAAAAGAAAAGGGATATAGGGCTTGCTGTGAATACTTAACTAGCCCATGCCAGACTGGCAGGGGACACATTTCTGTTCCCTTTGATTGAGTCCTAGGTGTTTTAATTCACTTCTTTCAATCTTCTACACGATTAACTTCTGTATTTGTGTGTGTGTGTGTGTGTGTGTGTGTGTGTGTGTGTGTGTGTGTTTAGATAATCACATATTTTACAGAGGTACCCCCCTGGCCTGGACATAGCTATTACAATATATTTTTTTCCTCCATTGAACTCTCCCTGTCCACTCCCACCCCCTGGCACATGCCCTCACCCCCCTAGTGTTGTGTCCATTGGTAATGCTTCAACCAAAGAACTTCTGTATTCTTAATCATATAATATAATTTTGACCTGTTCTGTTTTCGCTGTAACTACAAAGGCAAAGAGTTCAGAGGTTTATTGGGGGAATGCATGTTAGGGTGCTACATGAGCTACAACAAAGAAAAGCATGCAGTTTCTGCCTTGATGGAGCTCATAAAAAAACTGAGGAAACAAGTCATCTAGTTAACAATAGAATGTTAAATTGATTCTACAAGAGATTTTGAGGGAACTAATGGGCAAAAGAATAAGAGAAAAAGATCAGGTAGCATTGATTGAGCACCTATGACTTATGTGCAAGGCACTATATATAAAATTACATACATCGATACATCATCTAGATCTAAATCTAGATATAGATATAGAATAGGTATCATAGATATATAAAATTTGAAGTGAAATAGGCTAGTAGTTTTCAAATGTGTGTGTTTTTTAACAGCTATGGGACTCTTTATTCAAACCGTATTGCAGCTGAAAACCCACTATGTCAAAACAAAGCAAGACAGCAGAGCTGCTGTTGTTGCAGAGGGAAAGTAGGGGGTTCAGAGCTTCATTTGATTGGATCTTCTATTCTTTTCCTTTCCCCGCATTTCACCCCAATCCTCAAGCATCTCTTTGGAACCCATAGGGCTCTGTGGATCATAGCTTGAAAATCACCTGAAAACTCAATGTACTGTGTAACAATATTTTTATAGCTTCCTAAAAGATGTTCAGATTCTACTTTCAATTCTTCTAGTGCAAGAAAGGTCACTGCTTCATGATGTAGCTGTATATCACTGAACAACTCTAACTATGAAGAAATTCTTACCCAAATTAAGCTAATAACTTTAATGATTCTAGTACTGCTTTGTGTCAAAAAGAGAACAAGTCCCTTTCTTAAGAAAATTCTTCAAATACTTAGCTAATCTTCATTTTAATTTTATCTACATTTATACTTTTGCTCATTCAAAAATCATATGTTGAGCACCTATCACATGTAATACTTGGGCTATAAAAAGTTCCTGTATTAGCCTCATGGATCTTACATTCTAATAGAGGAGATGGACATACACAGGGATAATAACAAATCAATATATCAAGAGAGTGCAGGAGGGATTGCTGACCCAGGTCAAAGAAGGCTTTCTAAAGAAGGAGCTTCCTGGTGTCAGTCTTAAAGGGTAAAATAACTACATACCAAAGGGAAGGGCAAGGCTGGCAAAGAGAACAGTGGGAATAAAAGGCGTAGAAGTATAGGAAGACAAGGAAAGGGCCAGGAACTAGAAGCAGTTTAGTGTTGTTGAAGCACAGACTGAGGAAGATGATTAAAAGATGAGCCTGAAAGGAAGTAGGAGGGCTGCGTGAAAGAGACTGAATGTAATCCTTTGGCCATCAGGGGCTTCCTGATTGTGTCAAAAAAGGAAAATGAAAGCCAAGCTGTCAGGATTACGAGTCCTTCTCTTCCGGAAAGCAGTTGTTTTAATGAGTGAAAAATTAGTACAATTTCTATAAAAGACATTTAGAAAAAATATGAAAGATCTGTATTCAAAACAAGGACAGTTTCATAGAGTAATCTACCAACTGTTTAAGAAGCAGACAATTCCAGTGATTTTTAAATTGTTCAAAAGCACTGAAAAATAAAGAACATCTTTACATTTTTTTAAGGTTGCCAGGATAACATTGATTTCAAATGTTATGTCAGGATTGCACAGAAAAAGAAAAGCCAGACCAGGTACCTAAGAATATTAATGTTGCAAAAATCCTTTTAAAATGTTATCACTCAGAATACAGCAGAACATTAAATGAATAACAAACACTATAGCCAAGTGCAATGTTAGCAAATTAATAGATTGAAAGTGAAAAATTGTGATGATTTCTGTAGGTATTGAAAAGGCATTTCACATAATTGAACACCCATTCTAAGTTTTCTTTCTTTTTTTAAAAATTGTTTTATTGCTTAAAGTATTACAAAGAGTATTATATATGTTTCCTTTTTTTTTCTCCCCTTGACCCTCCCCTAGCCTCCCATGCCCCCAGTGTCTTGTGTCCATTGGTTATGCTCGTATGCATGCATACAAGTCCTTCGGTTGATTTCTTACCCATCCCCCACTAAGTTTTCTTTAGATAGATAGAAGAACTAGAAATTGGATAGTAAACATCATGCATGGTGGGGAAGCTCTAGGAACATTCCCATTAGTGGAAGCAGAATTCTGACTGAGAGGGCCTCCACGATTCCCAGCCCCTGGCATTCACACTCTTAGATTATATCCTCCCCTGAGTGCAGGTAAAACCTCTGACTTGCTTCTGACCAGTGGAATATGGCAAGGATAAGGGAATTGTGCAGATATAATTAAGATCCCTAATTAGTTGACCTTGAGTTAATAAAAATAGATGATCCTGACCTAATCAGGCAATCAGGCAATCATTTAAAAAGGGATTCAAGATTTCCCTGAGAGATTCTCCTACAGGCCTTAAAGTAATAAGCCCCCATATTTTGAGAAGGTCACATGGAAAAGAACTGTGAGAAGCTTCTAGAGAGCAGCTGCCTACTGACAGCCAGCAAGAAAATAAGACTTCAGTACAACAACTGGAAGGACGTGAATTCTGCCACGACTACTTGAGCTTAGAAGAGGACTCCAAGCTTCAGAAAAGAACACAGCCTGGCCAACTCCTTGTGACGTCCTGAGCAGGGCCTCAAGCTCAGTCATGCCTGGACTGACGCATGGAAACTTGTGAGATAATAGATTTGTGTTGTTTTGAGCCACCAAGTTTGAGGTGATCTGTGCACAGCGATAAACACCAATGCTTTATTGAAGTCAGTATCAAGACAAGAATGTCCAATATAACCATTATTATTATTTATCAAAGCAAATAATACAGTTAGACCAGAGAAAGAAACCATTGGTAACTTAACAAGAAGAGAGTGAATTTATTATTTTCAAATATTATTGAATACCTGGGAATGTCAAGAGAATTAATTGAGAAACTATAAAAAACTGTAAGAAAATTCAGTAATGGAGCAAGAATCAACAGCTTCCATATATATAAATAACAACGAAAAAGTAAATATATTGGAGGAAAGACCCACAGTAACAGCACAAAAAGATACAATACCTAGTAAGAAGCTAATTAATAAATATGCAAGAACTATCTGAAGTACACTTTAAAACATTAATGAAGTACACAAAAGATTTATGCAAATGAAAAAACCTATCACGTTTTGGATAAGAAGGACCTAAAGTTAAATGCTAATTTTCCTTAAGTTAATTTAAAAATTTAATGTGATTCCAATAAAAATACAAACATTTTACATTGAGGTGCGTTGATCCTGCAGTACATCTGGGAAGGTAACTAACAGCCGTAAAGACTCTGAAGAAGAAGACCCGCACGGCTCGGTGTTAGGGCTTCTTATAAAGTCTTACCCGTTCTAACAAGGTGGTTATGAAGAATGGACTAATGGAATAGAATGAAGAGTCAAGTATATATCTAAATACAAAAGAGACTTTATTATATGATAAAGAATAATCTCAAACTGGATAGGTGGGCTATCCAATAAGTGATTTGAGAATAATTATGAAACTGAGGGGGTAACAGGATTTGGTCATTATGTCTTACACCAGCATAAATTCGCAATGGATCAGAGATTTAAAAGTTTATAATGAAAGCATAGAAATTATACAAGAAATGGAAAATTAATGTGTATCATTAGGATGAGAAAGACCTTCAGGGGGATAAAATAAGGAAAGATAAATGACAAAAAATACTTTGCAACGATCTACCTAAATTATAAAGAGCTTTTAGGAAAGGAGTCAATTATTTAATCTAGGTTGTATTATTTATTCAAAAACTAATTTCAAATAATGTACCATTTACCACAAAAACAAACATTGTAGCCATGAATAATAAAATACGTTTAAGTCCTTTATGGAGGTTTCAATGAAATTGTGAAATTTTATAGAAAGACACTGAAGAAGCATTAAATAGATAATGTTCATGGACTGAAACTTTAAAAAAATATATTTTTATTGATTTCAGAGAGGAAAGAAGAGAGAGAGATAGAAGCATCAATGATAAGAGAATCATTGATCAGCTACCTCCTGCCCACCCCCCACTGGGGATCGAGCCTGCAGCCCGGACATGTGCCCTGACCGGGAATCGAACCATGATTTCCTCAACCATTGAGCCATGCCAGCTGGGCTGGACAGAAACTTTTACATGATAAAAATGTC